AGGAATGGTGTCTCTGCCCAAAACCACCTACTGGGGGACCAGCGTGAGCCAGATGAGTGAGGGTCTCCATGCAGGCAGCTGGTGTGGGACCACGAGTGATATAACCCACATACCTGGTGTCAGCCGGGATGGAGTTAGGGTTTGTATCTTCCCCAGTCCTGCTGTGTATGTTGCAGAGGATGTGTCTGCATCAGCAAACTTCAAGCTAGACCAGCTGGCAAGGAGGCAACATGTAACTCTCAATATAAGAGATTGGCCAATGTCTCTGAAAGAAGGTGCTTAAGGCTACACTTTTTTAATACTTGATACAGGAATACTGCCAGCTTAAAATGTGATCTGGATTCTTTTGTTCTTCCCAAAGGCAAGTACAAGTCATATTTGAGGTGATTGGAGACAGGAAACTAGGCTCAATACATAGTAGCCTTGATATGGAGCTGATTAGTCCTACTACAAGGAAAGTTAAAAAACACAAAAAAGCCTACAGAAAGTATTTTCAGGCTTTAAAAATTAGAGTTTAGTTAACCAGGAAAAAAAAAATATTCAAATTTAAGGATAAGAAAAAAACACATACGGGACAAGACAGCTTGTCTCAGCTTTGTCCCAAAAGAAGAGAATCTGTAGGGATTTACGGACATAGTGAACCCTAAAGACCAAACAAACATCAAGCCTTTTGCTAAGAGGAACAGAACAAAACCAATCCAGCAGGACTGAACTGTATACATGGAGAAGGATTTTCAAACCCTAAAGTTTAATAAAATGAGGCACTGTCCTGAGAACTCCTGATGTTTGAGTGAATTGCCAACAGATGTTTCAAAAGGTGATCCTGGGCAGTGCTATTGCAAACAATATGGCACATGTTTTTAGGGCTCTAGAAAGAAGCCAGAATGTAGTCATATGTAAAACCTAACCTATTCACTTATGGGAGATAATTCTGGTTAGAGCTATTGCAAAAGTAGTATTGACTTTTCCACCTCCCCAAATACAACTGTAAATCTGATTTGCAGTATCAGGGATTATAACAATTTATACCAGACACTACCAAGAGCATCTGGTGAGTCTGCAAGTGGAAAAAATAAAGCAGAGAATCACATAATGTATGCAAATGTGTTTTAAAAGAATTATTCAGTTCCAGGAAAAAATAAAATGTAATATAGATGCAAAGGCTACAGCAAAAAATAAGACACCGAGGCAAGTAATTGAAGCTATTACCACTGAATGGCTTGGGAGTTGCATGGTAAATTCATATTAGCAATTCAAACTGAAGCTTTCCTAACTGATGACATACTGTTTAAATACAACAGAGTACAAAAATGGGCATGCTTCAAAGAATACAGGAATGCTACATTGATATACAAGAGTGCAAAAGCAGAACAAAAAATCCTTTGTACTAGTCATAAATGAAAGTGGAGATCAAGAAACTGCAAATGCCTGATCTTGTCAGAGTAGGTATCCCTGCTGTTATATCAAGAAATGTTGGAATGTGCCCTGTAGTTACATTTACACTTCCTGAAATGCAGGTAGAATTGCTTAACAGATGATCAGACAGGATACAGAGAGCTTCTAAAGGCCATATTGAGTGTAATTAGAACAGTTGGTGTAATAAAGGACGTGTTTTATCAGTACCATAAGGAATGGTTCTGTTTGGGTAGTTTCTGCAGGGAAAAGAAGAGGTGTAAAGACTATAGTACTGCTTGTCCAAGAGCTGATCAGTCAATGCTCATCTGAGTATGGCCAGAAAGAGGCTCAGAAAAGCTGGCTCTGGCACTCTCCTCACACAATACATCTGTAATAAGCCCATCTATTTCAGCTGTTGTTTAAAATGGCTTTAGTAAGAAATCTCAGACATCTGAGACAAAGTAAGGAGATCTAGGGTCAGTCAGCAGGACATAATCAACCCTGAATCTGGGGCTGCACAGGCACAAAGGGTGATGGAGGAAAAGAACCATTTCTGCAATCATGGTCTGTGAAGGAATACTCTGGCTATAATAATTTGTATTGTGATAAATTGAGTGGGAAGAAAACTAGACCTTCTTCTCCAGACAGCGCAGGAGGAAAGGAGATCCATCCCATAGGAACGTACACCCTTTAGACCAGCTGATGTATATTAAAAAAGCAACATTAGGGTTGAAAAAGACTTGCCATGGACTTTGTGACAACTGGTACCAGTTCAAACATAGAATCATGGAATGGTTTGGGTTGGAAAGGATCTTAAGATCATCTCGTTCCAACCCCCCTGCCATGGGCAGGAACACCTCACACTAGACCATATTATCCAAGGCTCTGTTCAGCCTGGCCTTGAACACTGCCAGGGATGGAGCATTTACCAATTCTCTGGGCACTCTGCGCCAGCGCCTCAGCACCATCACTGTAAAGAACTTCTTTATGTCCAACCTGAACTTCCCCTGTTTTAGTTTGAACCCATTACCCGTTGTAATGATATGTTATGATACATGACAGCATCATAAAGCAGCTCTGAGAAGGAGAACTACAAAAGCCTGCTGCCCCCTCCCCACAGGCACTGCTTCCTCAACAGGCACAAATCCAAAGAGCAACTCTTCAGAGCCTCTTGCTGGTTTTAATCCAGGACTGGTTTCCATATCACAAAGCTGGCTGACCACAGAGTTAAAATCACTCCTCTTTCTGATTCCACACTGAGACAGAATCAGGCAGCCAGAGAGGTCAGCTTTCCAGCTGGGAGCCTGCCACGTTTCTCTCTATCCCTCAGCTCTATGACTCACCCACTGAGATGGCACAAGTGAGGACAATGCTCCAAGAGGTTAAAATGTCAGCTCTCATGCACAGCAACAGCAGCAAAAGGAACTCACACAGAGTTTTTTAACAGCTGTGGCCCTGGTTTCATAGAAATATTATAAGTTACTTGTCTCAGCAGCTTCTAAGAAGTTCCTAGACAGCTTAAATATCATCCTTTCCCAGTGTGGGATCATTCCCCAGTGTATGCTGCCAAGTCCCATTTCCAGTGTCATTTAAAAGTGATTCAGTGGTAAAGATCACCACTTTCCTTGAGACAACCCTCCTGAGCCTAACTGCTTTCCCCCGTGACATCCTAACTTGTAAGAGCACCACTTCTGTGAATCATCTCCCTTGGACCATCCTAGTACACTTAATGACTGCAGCTGAGAAAGCACAGTTTTAAGGGAAATTAGATTTGAGCATTGTCAGATTTCTTGAGCACTTACACTTTTAGTTTACTTACATCCTGGCCAGGAGGCCCCTGTGGTCCAGGGATACCAGGTACACCGCGGGGACCCTGGCAGGGAGAGAATAAACCCAATGATAAGAGCTGTAGTTATGAGGTGCTTCTTAGCTGAAGACAAGAAAACCTCCACACAATAGTTACTGGGAAAAAAAATAACCAGCAATTAAACTACTCAGAGAGAGCTTAAGGAAAAAAAAAACCCCAGAAATCTTGCATTATACTATCACAGCATCAGTCATTTTTGTGCCTCAGAGGACTTTACCTGCATCACTAAAGTCAAGCCTCACATACCTTGATTGGAAAGGTAATAATGACTCTTTATAGGAGGCAAGTTTATGAACAGGGAGAAAATATGACTGAGCATAGGTCTGTAGAAAAGAAAGGTCCTACTCCTCATTGCCACAGTGCACTGTTGAGGACTGGCTGTCATGCTGGAGATTCATGCCAGTGTATACAGAGGCCATGACACACATTTATTTGTTTCACACCGGTGGATTAAAACCTCGTAAAACTCCATGTGAACTAAACGCATTTGTGAATTGCAGAGGTTTCTGTAAGATTTAAGTAAGAAAAATGCTTAAAATGGTTTATTTTAAATCTTTGAAGCCTTACCTCTAAGGTATAACAGTGTGCCTTGAATTACGTGCCTTAAAATAAAGAATTTTAACCCTTAATTAACTAAATTAAAAATTAACCCTTGAGTCAAGGGTTAAATTCATTCTTTCTTTTGTAGGACTATTAACAGGTAAGGAAAAGTTCTCACCACGCCAAGAGTCTAAATCAGCTCTTTCCCACAACTCAATATAGCAGAGAAGTAGTTGGTAATGCACAAGAGAAGTCCCTTTCTGAGGGTCAGGCACCTTGTGACCCTACCATCCTTGAGCAAAAAGAAGCTAAACATGCTTTCATCAAATAACTGGTAGAAACACAACCGGTGAGGTTGTCCCCTCCACGTAAAGTCTGGATGCAGTTAGAAAGACATACTGTACCAATGACCCTTTGTCTCCTGGAGGTCCCACTGGGCCCTACAAACAGAAAAGACACAGCAATCAAAACACTTCAAATGCTGATCAGGCTGGGTCCTGAAGCAACAACGTAAAATTAGAGTAGGAAGGGTGAGGAAAATGAGAAAGTCTGACAAGCTGCTCCCACAGACATTGTTGGGGTATAGAATACTCACAGCAGGATGTTTTGGGGGAATTTCAAAGGCAGAGTGAGAAAAAAAGAGAGAAAAAGGGACCAGAGGGGTAGCTGTATACTGACATGATACTTGTCTGACTGAGCCCTGCACTTCATCACCACAGTCATAGAATATCTTAAGTTGGAAGGGACCAATAAGGATCATTGAGTCCAACTCCCTGCTCCTTGCAGGACTGCCTAAATCTAAACCATATGACTAAGAGCATCATCTAGACACTGTGACTGCTTCCCTGGGGAGCCTGTTCCAGTGACTGACTGCCCTTTCAGAGAAGGACCTTTTCCCAGTGTCCCATCTGAATTTCCCCTGATGAAGCTTCATATGGTTTTCTCATGTCCAGTTGCTGATCACCAGAGAGAGAAGATCAGTACCTCCTCCTGCACTACCTTCTTTGAGCCCTGGGGAACCCCACTGGTGACTGACCACCAGCCTGATGTAAGCCCATTTACTATATTCACATTAAATCCTGTTTGTAACATGGTTCAGCACAGGTGAGCTCATGAATCTGAGTCTGGGTCGTTGAATCTTAGTGGGCCTGAAACCACATGAACTGGTGAGTATAGAGGTCTGGGTGACAGCAACTGGAGGACATTGGGATGCAGAGGCCCGAGTACTGGGCAAAGTAGGTGTCCAGAATAAGCTGCTGGAAAGAGCCACATTTCAGGTATATATCCCAACAGTGGCCTTCAAACCCCATCAGCCAGAGAGGAGAAGACAGATTGAGACATTCTTGGTTATGTTTCTGGGAGTGCTGTTTAGGTTCCTATGGGTGTTCATAAAGGCATTGTTCTCTGCATTGGTCTGCGTAGCTGCACACGTGTGTGTATGTGTGTGCATTGCATGTTCTTATACCCATTGGCAATACATGCTTAGCAGCACTACTGGCTGGACCTGAGGACACAGAACCATAGTACCCTCGCATCTGTTGGGCTGGGAAAGGGCAATTCCCCCAGGTCCTGAAGACCACTGTAATCTGCTACCTCTAACAAAAGGAAAAGCATCCCACAGGACCTTTGTGCTCTTTAAATGAGGTCAAAGGAGGGAGTGCAGTGGACCTGCATATGCTGTTTTGTTTGGGGATGTGATTTAAGAAGGTGCAACTGGGTGAGCCACTAGAAGGTGTCTATTTCTATAGGAACAACACAGAAGTGATGCAGTACCCGTGTCCAGAATTGATGAGTCAAACACGCCCGAAACAAGGCTTGACCTTGCTTCTCCAGGGCTGTGTTTGAATAAATTGTCTCACACTATGACTTCTCTACCTTTGGTTTCTATTTCAGGCACATTAATTTGCTAATCCTCATACTAGTCCTCCATGCAAGACACCTTAATGCTCTGCTCAAGCAAAAGCTAAATACATAATTCTGAATCTATGGTAATATGAACAGGATAAGGCAGAACAAGACCAAACCCTTCTGCTTATGCAGCACATGCCTCCATTAGGCAGCTTCAGCATAGGCTTGTGAATTCACTCCATTTCTCCAAGCTTTCTTATTTCTCTTCTGCTTCTGGTTCAGATGAGAAGAACACACTCTGCTAATACTCAGTTTATGGCTCAGTGTTATGCAACTGGTTACTTTAGCAAAGAAAGAAAATTGTCATCTAAACTTACCTTCTGTGCAGGAGCCAAGCCCAAGAGGAGTTAAAGGGCACAGGAGGAGACAGAGTGAGGACTGATTAAAGAGAGTTGCTGCTTCTCAGCTCTGAAGCTGAAAGTATTACACACACAATTTTTTCACATTGCTAAAAAGGGTATAGGCTGACACCTTTAATTCAGTATGTGATATGCACTGAAGCAGCTCCACTGACTTTACTCCTTTTCCCTTTTTGTGGGCCTGTCATTGTGAAAGCCTGGTGGATTCAAGGTTATACAATGTTTTTCAAATTCCAGAGTCTCTGCACTGGAGCTGAGGTTATGATGAATCTACAGTGGAGAAAACTATTGTAATAGTTGTTGAAAAATGTATTTAGTGAAGCAGATTAAATAAATGAAGACAAATTGATCAGGAATAATGTAATATGTAGGTGGCTACTTATCCTAACAGTGGTCAAACAATGATGACTTACAAAGAAAAGTAATCTTCTGGGGTGAAACAAGTGATGTCTACATTTGGGATCAAATTCTTCGGCATTTGTATCCATAAATAAGCAGATGTTAAAGCCCTAATGAAGAATAACTTTGTCATCGAGTGTACATCAGGATGCAGAAGTGGACTCATCTACCTCTGCACTGAATGTAAAAATCAGTAATTAAAAACTACCCCCAGGCTGGTGACTTTCATTTGCTAACTCATTTGCTAATCTCTTTTTCATATTAATGACTGAACATTAGGAAATGCAAGAACATTGTTGTTGTTTGCATAACAAATAACACCCAGCAAATCTTCAGTCATCAGTGAGGACCATGAAGGCCATGACATAGTCATAATGCAAAATATGACTGACCCAGTCTGCTTTACTTTATATAGTATTCAGCTTGGTAAAAGCAAATACGAAGTGGAAATCTAGCTCATAAAACTAGATTTGTCAACCAGGATTGCACAGCAATACGACATCATTTCAAGGTAATTTCCAGTACTAATTGGGAAACTTGTATCCAGATAACCAGAACATTGAAACATTGACTGTGATTGGTACAGTACCATGGTGTGTACAAGGGGTTGCAAAAGAATACAAGGTCTCAGCTGTCACCCAGCAATTACAGCTGGGAATAAAGTTTGATTCCTCCTAAACGTCTCACTTGCAAATTCAGAGCACATCTGGAGGTCTCTGAGCAGAGCTACAGTCAGAGCACTCCCAAATCCCCCTCATCTCAAGATGAGCTGACAAGTACTGAAATGATGAAACCGTGGCGATATGAAGATCCAACCTTTCCACAGCAGACTCCCAGATACAGGGACCAGAGGTGAGGGCAGATCTGGATGTTTTGTGGGAAATTATGGGGACACTGGCACTCTTAGAATGCAGCAATTTAAGCAACCTGATTTTGTATTTCCCCGTCAGTGCTGACTATGTCACCAATATGGGCATGTGTGTCACACTCATCCCTTCTAATAAGGTGACAGCAAGGTTCCATCTGCACAGTAGACCAGACCTGCTGGCTCAGCACAAATCTCAACTCACATCCACAGCCAACGTGTCAAGATGACACAGAAAAGTCAGGAGTAACAGCCAGTGATATCAATTGCTCCTATAGCACTTTTCTGCCTTTCAACTGAAAATGAATGCATGAAGAGCTCTCACAACAGACGTGTAGACATCTGAGCCACAAATGGCAGCTTCTCAACTAGTTTGTGGTTTGCTTCTTCAGAGGGTGAAATGTCCAACATGCTTTTGGCACAGCTGAGCACAGGCAACGTGTTCCCGAGATGGTGATGGGTTTTTGCCTTATTGCAAATTCTAGCAGGACCTGCTACTTACAGGGGGTCCGGCCAGCCCAATTCCTGGTGCACCTCTGTCTCCTGGCTGCCCAGGGAGGCCAGGAGGTCCCCTCTCACCCTGAAACAAAGACAGAAGTTAAGGGCTTTGTGCGCTCTTGAGAAAACATACGTGTCCCTGCCTAGATGGAACTAGATGATCTTAAGGTCCTTTCCAACCCAAACCATTCTATAATTCTATGATTTGTAGAACCCATAGTTTGTGTTGGAAGGGACCTTCAAAGCTCACCTAGTTCAACCCCCCTGTGATGAGCAGGGACATCTTCATCTAGATCAGGTTGCCCAGAACCACATCCAGCCTAGCCTTGAATGTCGACAGGGATGGTGCATCCACCACCTCTCTGGGCAACCTGTGCCAGTGTTTCACCACCCTCATTGTAAAGAATTTTTTCCTCACATCCAGCCTTAACATCCCCTCTTTTAGTTTAAAACCATCACCCCTTGTCCTATCACAACAGGCCCTGCTAAGAAATCTCTCCCCATCTTTCTTACAGACTGTACTGAAGTGCAGTCAGGTTCTACACCAAACATAACACGGGTACATCCTGACCTGATCCTGCCAGCAAAGGAACAGTATCAGGCTGTGGCAGCATGGGGATATGGTGACAGACAGTGTGTGACAGTTACTGTCACAATATGCCAAGAAAATCACCCCCTTCCTTTACAGACCCCAGACCACCTCTGTGAGCACTCACACAATGTCAGTGTGTGCCACATCACACTGACATAACGAAGAGGGACCTAGAAGTATTTTATTTTAGTGCATAGCATCCAGTTTCCAGCATTTGCCCTTGCCTGCACAGCATTAGGCACCCTCCTCAGCCTGGGGAAGTGCTAAGTACCATAATGCGCTTTTCTTTCTGTCTTTCTATGGTAGATAGCCAACCTGCAAGCTTTGCTCGATATTTAGAATCATAAAATCAACCAGGTTGGAAAAGGCCTTTAAGATTATCAAGTCCAACTTGAAGCCCAGCACTGCCAAGGCCACCACTAACCCATGTCACCGAGGGCTTCATCTACATGTGTTCTGAACACTTCCAAGGGCAGTGACTCCAGCACTGCCCTGAGCAGCCTGTTCCAATGCCTGAGCACCCTCTCAGTGAAGAAATTGTTCCTAATCTCCAATTTAAACCTCCCCTGGTGCAGCTTGAGGCCGTTTCCTCTTGTCCTATCGCTTGTTACTTGGGAGAAGACACTGACCCCAGTTCACTCCATCCTCCTGTCAGGCAGTTGTAGAGAGCAGTAAGATCCCCCCTGAGCCTTCTCTTCTCCACACTAAACCCCCCCAGGTCCCTCAGCCCTTCCTCATCACACTTGTGCTCCAGGCCCTGCACCAGCTCCGGTGCCCTTCTCTGGACCCGCTCCAGCACCTCAATGACTCCCTTGTTTTCCAGATGTGGCCTCATCAGTGCCAAAAATTTATCCATGGAAGAAAGAATTAAGGATGTTTGGTTACATCTTAATGTTCTCCTTTCTTTTACGAACATAAGCCCACTCACGCAAGTGTATGATCAATTTTGGGGTAAGAAACCTAGTCAACGATTCTACTTTTCTTTCTAGAGGACTATACTATAAAAGGAGAGACTTCCTTTCTAGGAAGCAGAATTTTCAAAAGTAAAACCTGAAGAACACAGAAAACTTCCTGACATTATTTAATGGACATTGTAGACAGAGGACTGAGGAAGAATTCAGCTGCAATACTTAAATTTAAAGTCTGTTCTTTCGTAATTGAGTAAGGTTTTTGTGGACTATATTGCAGTCGTGAGATTTGATCTCATGTTGGCAGTAGATTTATAACTATGAATCTTATTTATGTTATTTATTGTTACATTATTTCCAATTATATAGAAGGATGATAGAAAAATCATTTACCCATGGATTCTGCCCACCCAAAGTTCAGTCTGTAATATCCTACTTTTTTCCCTTTCTTTATTTCTTCTTAAACTTATCTTATATTACAAAGAAGCAACACTGCAAGGAGAGTGAGAGAAAACATCTTCTGATTAGTTCAAACACTCCAGCAGATCCTTTGACTCTATTTTAGTCAAGAACATGATTTCAGTGCAAAAAGTTCGATTGTGTTTCCCCAAGCACAATTAAGACTCTTACCGTCTTGTGTTGATATTGAATAGGGTATTTCATGAGGTTTCTTTTAATGTTTTTTTTCTGACTTTTATATTAATTCTCAGCCTATTGTTGTGTGTTCTGAACTCTCAAAAGATACATACAATTACAATGCATTCACACAGAATGCAGCAAAATGAAAGCATTTCATAGTAGTCTGGTTATTTCAAAAATACAGGACCAAGATGAATCTAACCTCATACTGCAATATTCCTACTTCTATCATTTATAGAATCTGTTTCAACACCCCATTCTTCTTCCAGTCCAGATCAGGACACAGTCATTTCAAAGAGGAGAATTTCTGGCATGTCTGATTGAAGAGTCAAGCACAAACCAGATGCTCCCAGAAGCAAAGGTTTTTGCTGTTCTATTACTTTCTCTATTTGCTGTGTACTTATAAGGGAATAAAGATTACTTTCAGCTGAAGAAATCAGTGTCATTAACATCATAACTAGGTAGTCTTTGCCTTAACTACAAAATAGGAGGGCAAACCAGGACTATCTGGTCCCACTGGAAAACAATTCACATCTTTCTTGGAGAGAGAGGAGTGCTATGGAGGAGTGCTATTTGAGGGGCTGACAGGCAGTCTCAAGAGTAGATCATCCTTTAGCTATACAATGTCTCTCTAGCTGTATGGATTAGAGGTCTCCAGTCAGTTTCCCTGCAAAAGTGTGCACTAAGCCCTTGGTCTGTGTTGAATCCATATAATACTGGAAAGATTTTTAAATGTGGGTAGTGAACACAGCTAATTCATATCTAAATCATCTTACATCTACATTAATAAAGAAATCTTTAATAGAGAAAGGAATTTCCTAAAGGGATAGAAGTGCACTTTTGAGTGGCAGCTTCACAAACTCTTGTTATCCACTGAAAACCAGACATGTTTTCACCATAATGTTTTCTTCAGTTCCAGCAGTTGAGACAAGTCCATAATAAAGTCCATGCTCACCTTGTGTCCAAAGGGTCCTGGCAAGCCTGGTGGTCCTCTTTGTCCCTAAAGTGACAGAGCCAAAACCAGAAGGCAGTCACCATACAGCCAAACAGGAGCCTGATAGTCAAGGCAGCAAGCATCCACCCCCAAACCCTCCTTACCTCACTCTGTCCTGGTGATATTTTACTGATAACATGTAAGCAAATGAAATGATCTGCTAACTTGGCTACAATTAATTGATTTTAGGCAACTACCATCAAGCTACTCATTTTTGTACTGGTCACAATTCTTTCTGCCTTTTTGGATGTAGCATTGTGATCTGCAGCATTTTGCACAGCCAGGCCCTTTGTGTCTTCAGGTAGACAGCTTGTGATCCCTTGTGACAATGCAGCCTAACTCTACCACAAATCCACCGTTCTGCAGAAGTCGTGCTCATCTATCTCACATTGAGGTACTCAAGCACAAGTACTTACCTGTTCTCCATCTTTACCCTTACCAGGCAAACCTGGCTCTCCAGCACGCCCTGGCTCACCAGCTGGCCCAGGTAAACCCATTTTTCCTTCTTTTCCAGGATCACCCTGCAGAAGACAATCCAGCAAAACTCTTAGTAGGATACATAAATCATTCAGGTCTTTCATTCAGACTGAAATATACACATTTTTTTCAAGTTATCTGAATTTCTCTTGGCATCCTAGGAAAACCCTCTTTTGCAGGAAGCCTTTTCCTTCAGTAATCTCAAGGCATAGAGAGTTTTCCTTAAGGAAAGTAAAAAGACACTGCAAAATGTTTTGGGAACCACATATATGTGACAGTGAGCTCCCCCCACCCCAAACCTGATCTTTATTTCCCATAATCTTGCTCAAGTGATAACCATCAGTGGCAATTGTAATGAATGCATCCAGAGGAAAGTAGAGAGACATAACAATACAATAGCCAAGGGCTGATTTGAACAATGCACCCACCTACCCAAGTGCTGGCTCCAGCCAAATTTGGAAGAAACAAACATCTTAAGTTAATACACAAATAGCAACAATCATCTTACTCTATAAACAGTGGGAAGACCAGGATTCATGGAGCTTTCCAGCACTGTACTGGGCTGTATGCCAGGATCTCCCCCTGAATAGGGACACCTCTCAGGGTTACTCCTCTGAGGAGTTAAGGATGCAAGAGGATCCTTTCTGAACCTCATAACTCAGTGGGAAGGTCTCCCTGACAGTTTTGTCTGACACTGCCCTCTATGCAGTAAATAAACTTGCCATCAAATCTTTGTTAAACCACTGTCACATTTACCATTGAACTTTGTTAACTTGCTGTCTTATATCAATAAAATATATTTCTGCTTCTCTCTTGCTAGTGAAGTGCATGACTCCATCCACTACACTATATGAGAGAGCCCTTGGTCCACACATGACCCTGAGGTAGATCTCAGTAGTCTGGAAGATGATTTGACTTAAGGGGCTGGGATTCATTCCCTTTTAAACTCCTTAAATATACATTATGGGGCCATTTTTCTGATTAATCGTTCTGACTCCGGCAAACAAAGGTCAGGACACCAGCATGCTGGGATCTGTGCAAAGTATGAGTAAATGACAAACCCCTGACCTCAGAGAGCTCACTGCCTAGCTATGAGGTGGGATATAACAGTTAGGCAAGGCAGGCAAAAGGTAAGCAAGGATGCACTAGAAAGCTAAGCTAACGATCCAGTTACAACAGCTTATCAGGGAAGAAGAAATCTCAGTTTCTTAACCATGAAAGCCAGTTTTTCTTCCAGCTTTGGGTTTACAGTGATGAATAGGAGGTACTTAAATCACCAAACCCCTACTCCCATCAGGCAATGAGAACAGCAGAAGATCACCATTACAAAATGTGCAGCAGTGGTTTCACTGTATCCAGTTGCATCTCAGTGGTTTTATTAAGTAAATTATAAAGCTGCAACAGGGTGAAAACTTTATAGCATGTGTAATAGAGGAGGTCAGACAAAATGGTCTAATGAGCCCATGTGTCATAACCATCCAGAAACCTAATTTCTCAGTCCAGACTGCTTCTGTCCCTGGTTACTTAGAATCATAGAATAATGCCCAAGAAGCAAAGAAACAAATTCATGAAAGAACAAACTCACCTTTTCCCCTTTTTCTCCTTCTTTTCCTGGAAGCCCAGGGTGTCCAGGCACACCCTGCAGAGAAAAGAACTTTAAAGCTTAAAACTTTCTTTTTAGGCAGTGTTTGATGCTAAAGCAACTGGATTGACCTGTGGGTTTAGTACACTCTATCTCAAGGATTAATATCAGTTTTACATTTCCCAGTACAGGCAACCTGTAATCCAGACAACACCACAGAAAAGCTGTGTGCCAAGTCCTTAAAAAAGGTTGGGGTTTTTCATTTCCAATATAAATAAGAGCTGAAAAGCAAAAGCAGAAATTGAGCTAATCCCAGATTTGTGCATTCTCCTTCTACCAATAACTATATTTTTTCACTCCACAAAATCCTCAGCAGTTCCTAAACCATTACCAACAAACTCCCAATCAACACCTCTGTATCAGAGATGCCCAAAGTCTCACAATATTATTTTTCTTACAGCTACTGCTCTCCAAAACTATTCCTTGGAAAACATTTATTTTGCCTCTATTTCAGTTTTTAATCCTTTTCACGGCCTGGCAAATCTCAAAGGATTCCTTGTCAAAATACAGATGATGTAGAGCTCTAAATTAAATCCTGTAACTTCTTAACTCCCCAAAACACATTATGGAGTGGTACTCCATTTTAAGACATGAAATGATGTCCTGGCATCAGTGAGATTGGATTGACCTCCGGTAATGCATGGGAACCTGCATTACAATGAGGGTTGATTCCTACTCATGACTGAGAGACATAATAAAGTATGTTTTTTGTCACGGTGTATTTGGTAGAGTATATATGTGAATGTTCCTTGTGACAACAGTGAGATCATATGAAACTGCACGGCTGATTCTGGATCCTCACCTATGAGTGGATGCACCATGCAGGAACTTTCCCAGTTGTCTGAGATTCCTGGGGTCAGCTGCAATGGGGCTTCCCAGCTGGAAGTGTAGGCTTGGATGATGATTCAGTGGTGACTGGTGATGTATTTCTTCTTAACCTCTGTTCCCTTTATACAGTAATGACTTGATGCATTGTCAATTTTCCTCTCTGCTTTACTTTTATATATATATATATATATCTGTTCGCTTTGCTATACTTATTTACTATATATAGATATAGGCTGAGAAAGTTGGGGCTGTTCAGCCTGGAGAAGAGAAGGCTGCGTGGAGACCTCATAGCAGCCTTCCAATATCTGAAGGAGGCCTACAAGGATGCTGGGGAGGGACTCTTCATTAGGGACTGTAGTGGTAGGACAAGGGGTAATGGGTTTAAACTTAAACAGGGGAAGTTTAGATTAGATATAAGAAACAAGTTCTTCACAGTGAGGGTGGTGAGGCACTGGAATAGGTTGCCCAAGGAAGTTGTGAATGCTCCAACCCTGGTGGTGTTAAAGGCCAGGCTGGATGGAGCCTTGGGCAACGTAGTTTAGTGTGAGGCATCCCTGCCCATGGTAAGGGGTTGGAACTAGATGATCTTAAGGTCCTTTCCAACCCAAACCATTCAATGATTCTATGATATACCTGATTCCTGTTAGTGTGCTTGTTTTCTTTAGTGTGCTTGTTATACAGCTAGTGTATGGTTGTTTTGTTGCATTCCCTGCTTGTCAGCAGAACACCTCCTCAGGATGGATGCAATAATCATTTTCCTTTCTGTAACAGTAAAGATTATTTCCTACTATATTAGCTTTTATAGATGATACATTGGTATCACTGGTATAGAAGTTTGTTTAGACGAATATGAAATTGAAAATGGTCTTTACTTTCGATATCATCTTCCAGTTTGAAATTTAATCACCACATAAATATGATCAAATGTATCTTAACAATTAGGAGAAAGGCAATTTAAGATTTCTTGGATTGCTCAGGCAATAAACTCAGCCTTAAAGAGCCTTTTGTGCTAAACCATTGTGCCTGAATATGTTAGAAGATGAAGTCTAACTGCTGTTTTTCACTTACTTGGGTATAAACAAAGAGAAACCCCTACTACTAGAAAGCGTATTACACTGATGAACAGGGAGTAGGTTAGTCCAGAGATTTCTTTTTCAAACATGAAAAGCTCTATCAACTTAGTAATGGTGGTGAACACCTACTGAGGTAAGGGCACTGTACTGATTTCAAGTCTTTGATTGTAGGATCAAATACTTACATGCTTTCATAACAAAAATGGGTATTTATCATGCAACTTTTATACCAAGAAGTCACATTTTCAAAAGGAAAGGAAAAATTGAAATGAGGCAAACAAACCCAAGACAATAAATATTGCAACTATTCTCTTGAAGAGCTGGCAGCAAAAATCACTTTTAACCATTTGGTGAGGAACGAAGCAGCTCCAAGCCTCCCTCTTGCTACAAATGAGTATGAGAGTATGTTTCATGGATACACCATTCCCAGGTGCCTCCAGATATTTCAATTCAACCATAAAAAATGTGTAATGAAACACAGCCTTTTAAATCCGATAATAAACCCTGTGGAAGGGAAGACCAGAAGTACTCAGTAAAGAAATGTACACTGGTACATACATACCACATTTCCTGGTAAGCCTCTTGGACCTGGGGGTCCTGCTGGCCCAGTCACACCCTGTGTTAAGAAAAAGACGTGCATGTGCATGTGTAATTCACAACTTCTACCACCATAGGAACAAGATGTTCCACGTGAGACTGGACTTTATGTCAGACAAGGTGTTGTACAAGCACAAAGCAAAGAACAGCATCTTTGTGAAATACCTTGTGGTGTAAAGAAGCATAAAACAATGCAAAATGGATGAGGACTCTCTTTGGGAGCTTAAAATTACCTTCCATCAAAATAAATGCTAACTCTAGCCTAAAGGAAGAAAAGTCTGGTCCTGAAACATCAAACAAATGCAGGAAAGTATGTTGGTTTAGCATTAAAGTATACATCTAGGTCAACAAAATATGTTTTGTTGACAATTCTACCTTCTTCTACTCTGGGGAACACTACCTGAAAACACTCATTTGCACTAAATAGATGAACAGCACAAACCATTCAGAGTGTTATAACTCAGAATTGCAGGTGTCTTCTGTTTGCAAGTGAAAGATTTTTAGGGTGGGAAAGCCCATGTGTGTCTCCAAGAATGCCTGGGGGACATGAGAAGACTTATATCTGTGGATTTATGTCCCCATAGAGATGCACGTTTGGGGCTACCAGGCTATATTTAGACATTTTCCTTTATACTTGACCATACCAGGTTGAAGTTGCTGCCTCTGCAGTTGTTTGTCACCTTGCTGTAACCAGGGTTCAACTCTT